GTGTAGTGGCCTTTTCGTGCGAGCAAGCCTGCCTCAGTTGAGGCTTACAGTTTAGGCTAAAGGGTTCAGGGTTTAAGGTTCAAAGATTCCAGCCAACCCCCTTCACTCACACCCTCGACCGAGAAAGGCTGCATGAGCCTCAGCCCAATATTCCCCAACCCAATGTCTTAGACTGCCTGAACCCTACAAAACCGACCTTCTCACGGGTTCCTGGCTATATAAGAACTTATATATAAGTATATACATATATATATATATATCCACACATAACAGTCATTATTAAAAGGTAGGTAGTTTTGGTGTTAATCTACGTACAACGTGTCCTCCAGCTTCGAAGCGGATACGCCCAGCATGGTGTGGAGAACTCCGAAGAGAGCGCAGAAGAGGTGTTGAGCCTTCCGAAGACCCCTAAACCCTAAACCCTAAACCCTAAACCCTAAACCCTAAACCCTAAAGCCCTAAACCCTAAACCCTAAAACTATAAACTCAGGCTTTCACAGGGTTTGGGTCTTAGGGTTTCGTGTCTTAGGGTTTCAATACCCTAATCAGGGCCTTCGAAAGAAGGGCATAAGGCTTGGGCCAAGCTTCCTGTTCGAAGGATCTGGGGGGACGGCTTTAGGGTTTTCAGCATTTGGGTTTGAAGTGTTGGCTTCTGGCCGTTTGGATTAGGGATGCGGTGTTTTTGGGTTTGTTGTTTGGGATGTAAGAGTTAGGACTTCTGTAGGGTTCACGGAGGGCCAGGCGGATTTTTTTGCGCTTCAAGCGAGCATTGGCAGGGTTATGAGCCTGTACAGGTTTAGGATGTGCGGCTCGGGCAGAGGCCAATGGATCTCGGATATAGGCTTAACGCCGTCCCGAACGGCCCCGCGGTTTTGCGACATTTAGACGAACCGCCTTGTATTCGGGAGAATTGAGGGCCCAAGCGGTCTAGTCGTTCATCGATGATCCCAATGAAAGGCCGCATCGACGCTGGAGCCGTTATCGGTGCGGGGCAGCCCAGACATCTTGCTAAGGCAGAGACTTGCAGGCACTACGGTTGATGATATAAATCCTGCATCACCCAAAATTCGGAATATATCATAGTTCTCATAGGTTAGCGTCCTTAGGGAAATGCAGGACAGGATTTGTATCATCAACAGTAAGGGGATGGTTGAATTTCGGCCCGAACCCCACATGATTGTTGTTTTGTGAGGCCTCCTGCGCAAGCGGAAGCCTGGTGTAAATACTGGGAGGGGTTATCAAGAATCAAAAAGGCTGCAAATCAAACGCCGTGAAGCCTGAGCCCTAAACCTGAACCCTACAACCTAACCCTGAACCCTAAGCCTTCACTTCAGTGCTGAGGCTTTGGCGGGGCTGGGTCCTTGACTTCAGACTAAACTTTGAAATAACAAAAAATCTATAGACTTTAGTTCAGAATGGTTCAGGGGTCCAAAAACGCATTCAAGTATGGTACTCCAGAACCCAGCAGATGATTCAGCAGTGAATTCAGGATATGTGTCTTTCGTTTTCTGAAATAGGCTCAGCTAGAGGCTATCCACCGCAACTATGGCTCAGAACGGGAGCTTCAGAACACTGCCGGAGAACTCTCTGGAACTCGCCGTGCAGATCTTACTTTCGGAGATGCGCAGAATCAGTTTAGGAGGGCTTTCGACTGATTCCATTTGCTAGCGACAATCGCGCACGAGATCTAATTGCACATTTTCAAGCCCTCAGGAACCGGGGCTTCAGGCTTCGACCCGAGCTTGCAGCATTTCGACATCGAAAGGCCTCGTAGCTCATCTGCGGCACCCACTTCCGCAAAGCATGGCCAATAAACATGGAGGACAAGATGCCATTCCAGACCTGGGCGAAATACAGCATTCAAGGAAATTACAGGTGGGGAGTTTAGGGTATGTAGGGCTTCTGTAAGCCTTCCATAAGGTATCTAGACCTTCTGCAAGGCTCCTAGAATGGAAACTGAAACTACCCACCTGAAAATGTCCTAGACAGCAAGCCTACAGCCACCCACTCCTAAACCGCAACAACGCTACCCAATCCCCACAAAAGCTACAGCCTAACCTGAAACCTCTCGACCCTACAACATCCCCAAAACCCCAAAGCCTCAGCCGGCTGTGCAAGCCCTAAAGCCCTAAACCACCACCCCCAAAACCGATGAGACCTTAAGCCCCCTGACCCCCAACCCCTACTAGGGTTTAGGGTTTAACCCTTAACCCCTTCACCCCTAACCCCTAAACCCCGAAACCCTCAACCCTAAACCCCTCAACCCTCAACCCGAAAACCTACGCCCCAACGTCGCAAGCTTGAGCCCGACCCTGCCGCAATCGAAACCCCTAAAGTCTCTGCTCCCCAACAGTGTCTGGAAAAACCCTCATAGGCTCCATGTACCTATTTAGTGGTTTAGGGTTTAGGGTTTAGGGACCCGATAAGGCTCAAAATAGCCCAAAAGCCTTTCATAGGATAGGTCTTTGGAACCAAAAGCCAAAAGCCTTACAATATCCTTAGAGCCTTCGGGCAAGGCTCCATGTACCTATCTAGCGTATACCTGATCCTTAAAGCACCTATGTAGAGACCGCTCTAAGGCCTAAATATCCACTATACCGGCACATGGCTTCTTGGGGATAGTGTGCTTATGAGGTTGACAAGGGTTACTAAGCTACTAAAATTATAATGGGGTTTCGGACTGGGAGTAAAATGGCGCCACAGATCAAAGCTGCTCTAAGTGAGCATGTAGTAGTAACACAGATAGCAGCGCCAAGTTCTACTAAATGTTGCTACTGTTGTTGTGGTTAGAATACACATAACCGTACCAATAAACCGAAGACGAGCAAGTAGTGCTGGCAGCACACTCGCAGTAGCAGTAGCACTAGCAGTAGCAGTAGAA